GACACCCTGGCTGCTCGTTCCATGTGGGGCTTCTCTGGTCTCCTTCTGCTGGTGGTTTCTGACTGCCTGCCACGGGGTCTGGACAGGACCCTCTGGGATGGCTGCCTTTCCCACCTCCCAACGTGGCCACTATGTCCCACCACCTCTTCAGCATCACAAATCTTCTTCCTCTGCCCCAGAGACCCCCAGGGCATTAGAATTCTGGAACCTTCTCCCCCTTCATTTTTCTGTTCCTMTTTTTGGAAGCCATGCACTGAAGACCAGCACATTCAAACGCAGATATGTGTGCAAAGGAAATCCCAATGTCACCGCACATGCCCCAGGGCAGAGGGGGCCCAGGAAAGACCTGAGAGACCTTCCCTTTGCACCTCTTGGGGCAGAGCAGCCTTCAACAATCAAAGACCAAGGAGTAAAAAGCAGCAGGTGCCAGGAAGGGGAAGAGCCTGGTGTCCAGGGTACGACATTCCTGGATTCACATGTCAGGTGTCCACAAAGTATGGCCAGACACAAAGGAGGCTGATAAACCACCAGAAACTGTCGCAGATCTACTAGACAAAGACTCTGAAATGACTGTCTTAAAGAGTAAAGGGATGTGGGAAAGTCGAGAAAACCAAGTGTGAACCAAATGGAGATATGAGCGAAGCCCAGAAACCAAAAAGAAACTTCTCAGCTCTGGAGCTGAGAAGTTCAGCAGAAATAAAAGGTCACCAGAGGGGTCAAAGGCAGATTTCAGCAGAAAGAAGGAAGAATCGGTGAATTTGAAATAGAACAAGGGAGACTRCTGAGTCTAAGGAAAGAAGAAAGGTTGGCGAGAAGGAAAGAAACACAGGCTCAGGGACCCGTGCGGACCAGCAGGAGGACCAGGCTGTGCACTGCAGAAGTCCCGTGGGAAGAGGGAGCTGAGGGGCCAGAACAGTGAAGGGTCATGGATGAGAGAAAACGCCATGGGTCTGGGGACCAACAAGATTGTGAACCCCCAGAAACAGTGAGCACCAAGCAGAAGAACTGCGAGACCCACCTGGAGCACATGGTGATCCAGCTCAAAAGACAGGGGTTTGGCAGCAGCAGGGGGTGCTCCTGACCTGCAGGGCAGCCTCCGCAGTGTCACCTGCAGATTTCTTGGCAAGGTCGGAGGTAGTCAGCCGTGAGTTGACGCACCCACAGTGCAGGAGGCGAACCCCACCCCCAGGAAGCCCGTGTGCAGCACAGCACCGCTCAGAGTGGGGGGATTTAGGACCTCTCCAGAGCCACCAGGCCAGACCCTGTGCAGGAAGTGCAGGGTGTGACGCAGGGACCTGGCACCTGTGGACACAGGGCCCTCAGCAGAGGTCAAGACGTGGCCGTGGTGAAGGCTGGTGGAACAGACAGCRACGGGCCTCCAGCGCCGTTTTCTATGTGCCTAAGGACTGATGTTTCTAAATGAAAATGATGTTTCTCTAACAGCTAGTGGTGACCTTGGTTTGCAATTCCACATTTTATTGGCTCAGCAGTTTAAGAAACAAAGGCACTAAAAGCATGAGGAGTTTTGGCACAGTACCCGGTGAGCCTCCACATCTGTGGGTTCCACCCACACACATTTAATCAACAGCAGATTGAAAATCTTTGGAAAAAGTCATATCTGCACTGAATATCGCAGGCTTTCCCCGCCCGTCGCCATTTCCAAACAGCACAGTGTGGCTGCTGTGGACAGACGTGCTGTCTGCGTGTGCCGGTGTTCCAGACTCGAGAGGTGAGCGGGCTCCACGTGAACACTGCGGCCTTCTGTAAGAGGCCTTGACCACAGGATCCTGGGCCACTTCCCTCCAGCACTGAGGGACAACTCTATAAAGAGGTGGTTTGTGACATCAGAGTTGAAAGGGATGGGGACAGAGCTGTTAGAGAAGCAGAGCTTTCGTATGTTACTGAAGTTCAGCTGGTATAAATTCAGCATTCTAACTTCAGGACGTTAAATGTAACCCCCATGGTAACCACAAAGAAAAGAAACAATGAACACATGGGAAGGAATGAGAAAAGGATCTAAATGTCTCACTACCAAAATCAACCAACACAGAGGAAGGTGGCAGTCGCCTGCAGAAAATCAGGGGGAAAAGCCGCACGGTGTGTGTAATGCCAGTGACAGAGGTCTCTCTTCATCAGCAGTGACTTTAGATTTTGGAAGTGGACTAAACTCTCCAATCAAAAGACAGAGACTGGTAGATGGATTTTAAAACCCTGATCACACAGGAGACTCGCTTCAGATTCGCACACAGCAGATTGGAAGGGAAGAACGGGGGGGCGGGGGGTCTCGTGCGAATGGCCACAGAGAGTGGGACAGAGTGGACTTCAGCCAGGAAAAGTCCTGCAGATCAGGAGGGCYGCAAGAGGGCTCCCTGCACAGGGAGACTGGACAGCAGCATGGGGGCAGGCACCCCCCAACTCCACCCCATGTCAGAAAGTGACGTGCAGCCACCCTGTGGGGGACACTCATGTGGAGAGCCAGACCAGAGCCCCATGGCTGGGTTCCCACCTTAGCCACYGCGGCGGGCGCGGGGGTCCCTGCAGTGGACCTGGTTCCTCCTCTCTGGGCGGGGAGAGCCATCTCCAAGGGCTGAGCAGTGAGAGGGGGTGGGTGTCCTGTGGGTCGGGGGTCTCAGAAGGTCCCTTCTGTTTTCCTGAGGGACGGTTCCTGTGCTGCACTCAGAGCTCACCCTGTGTCCCCCCGGGAGCCCCGCCTGCCCCTCCACTGYAGGCCAGCAGTCCCCTGGGGCTGCCTTCTGTGTGCACAGCGAGGTGGGCGCTGTTGGCTGTCCCACCAGCAAAGACAAAGCTGATCCTGGAGATTCTGACTGAAAYTGTATTCAATTGTAGATTCAGTTAGAAATAACTGGTTTTTTGTTTTTTGTTTTGTTTTGTTTTTTTTGGTACTGGGGACCGAACCCAGGTGTGCTTAACCCCTGAGCTACACACCCCTAGCCTTTTTATTTTTATTTTGAGGCAGAGTCTTCCTAAGTTGCCCAGGGTGGCCTCAAACTTGCAATCCTCCTGCCTCAGCGCCGTGATTGCTAAGATCACAGGCACACTCCACACACCCAACTGGGTTAGAAATGACCGATTTTCTTCATATCTGTTTAAGATATAAGGACAATTTCTTATTCAAAAGMMAGATTTACATTTYCTTTTCTTTTTTTAAAGAGAGAGTGAGAGAGAGGGAGAGAGAGAATTTTAATATTCATTTTTTAGTATTTGTCGGACACAACATCTTTGTTGGTATGTGGTGCTGAGGATCGAACCCGGGCTGCACGCATGCCAGGGGAGCACACTAYCACTTGAGCCACCTCCCCAGCCCCAGGACTTACATTTTCTAAATGTAACACCACACAATGCCTTTTTTTATGTGGTGCTGAGGGTCGAACCTGGGTCCCACCCGCGCTGGGGGAGGGCTCTACCGCTGAGCCACRGTCCCAGCCCCCGTCTGGAGGCGTTGAAGCGCCTCTTTGTGGCGAAGCCTGTCTTCTCCCCATACATTTTCTGCTGCTTCTACTGATGGAAGCTGATCAGTAGCTTCTGGCCCTCGGTCTCTTGGTGTCTTGGGGGGAGTCCAGGGGGCCGAGTGGGTGGTCTGGCTGAGGATCTCACAGGAGGTGCCGTTGGCCGCCAGGACTGAGGGCTTTGTTTCCGGGCGCCCCACTGTGGCTGCCGGCTGCAGAGCTGGGTCTCCATGGCATCTGTGTGAGGGGCAGCCCCGGGAGATGCCAGACCAAGTGTCTTCCACGGCCTGGGGCCGGCCACCCTCTCTCCGCTCTGCTGGCCTCGGGCAGTGCAGGAGTGCCGAGGGCGGCAGGCCCCACCTGGCACCGTGGGGGCCCTGCCTCTGTGCGACGGAGCTCTCCTGAGGGCTCTCCTGGGCCTCTGTCTCTGCATCCCAGTCTCTGTCCACCCAAGAGCCAGGCCTGTGGCCTCCCCTGCAGCTGCCCCCGAGTCCCTTCCTCCAGCTCACGCCAGGCTCTGTCCTGGGGCCTCGGCCCCCACTGCCCCCTTCCCCGAGCCCTGGGACGATTCAGCCGTCTCTGGTGCCAAGTCTGTTACTCACAGGCCCCACGTTCCCAGCTGGGATCATTGGAAGACCCATCCGGAAGGCCTCTCGGCCTCAGCGGCTTTCTGGAATTTAAGTGGGAGAGTCCATCTCTTCACGGTGTCAGTGCCCCTTCTCCAGTGGTCTCCCGTGGGGAAGGACTGTCCTCAGCCTGCTGGGAGGGGACCAGGGCTACGGGGGGCTGGACAGCCTGGTGACAGTCCTTCACTGCGTCCTCCCAGCCCTCACCTCTGGCACAGCCAGGGGCTGGTGTGGCGCTGCTGGGCCCTGGGTCATCCCATCCACATGGAGGGAGGGGCAGTACAGCCCCCCAGGGCCTGGCAGCTCCACCCCTCCCAGCGTCACTGCCTCTGACAACCTTGGTGACGTGGAACACAGGCCTCTGCACACCTCCTTGAATCAGCATTTCAACAGAGTCCTCTGCCTGGGCAGCTGGGTGCTTGGGGAGGACAGGCCAACGGGGACAGAGGGGCCAACTCTGGCTTCCCGAGTCCAGACCCAGCCACTGGACACCAGGGCGTGTGCTCTGGGAGGACCCCGGCTGTTAGGTACCCACAGGGAGCCAGACTAGCGGTGGCCAGAGGCAGAGGGACTCCAGGGACGCACGTGGGGCTGGGAACTGCCTCCGGGGTGAGGCCAGCAGCCTCCCGGAGCGTGTGGGTGGGAGACGCTGGCCGCTGGTGTTTTGATTCGGCTCCCAAGGGTCTGTCTACCTATGTGCTTGGCTCATCATCCAAATCCCACCCAGAACTGAGCCCAGGGGTGCCCACTGCAAGTCTGCAGCCCCACAGGCAGTGGGGGAGGCCCAGCTGCCCAGCCCAGGCCTGCGCCTCTGCCCCCTGGAGGTGCTGCCCAGCGGTGTGCATCCAGCACAGGAGGGCTGTGACTTGCGGTGGGTGCCATCTGCACAGCCCTTCTCCTGTTGCAGGACCTCAGGGCCCACGACCGCTGCCGAGATGCTCCAGGGCCCCTTCTCCGTGCTCCTCCTCGGGGGGCTCCTGGGGGTCCTCCATGCCCAGCAGCAGGAGGTCACCTTGGGGGGCACTTCTGAGCGGAACAACAACTGCCCAGGTACCAGGGGTGGCYGGGACCCTGGGACGTGGGTGGTGAGCACCGGGCACCGGCAGGCCCGGGTGGCAGCCTTTGCTGGCTGGCCTGATGGGTCCCTGCCCCCCAGAGAAGGCCGACTGCCCCGTCAACGTGTACTTCGTGCTGGACACCTCGGAGAGCGTGACCATGCAGTCCCCCACGGACAGCCTGCTCTACCACATGCAGCAGTTTGTGCCGCAGTTCATCAGCCAGCTGCAGAACGAGTTCTACCTGGACCAGGTGGCCCTGAGTTGGCGCTACGGTGGCCTGCACTTCTCGGACCAGGTGGAGGTGTTCAGCCCGCCAGGCAGTGACCGGGCCTCCTTCACCAAGAGCCTGCAGAACATCCGCTCCTTCCGCCGGGGCACCTTCACTGACTGCGCGCTGGCCAACATGACCCAGGAGATCCGGCAGCACGTGGGCCGCGGCGTGGTCAACTTCGCCGTGGTCATCACCGACGGCCACGTCACCGGCAGCCCATGTGGGGGCATCAAGCTGCAGGCTGAGCGGGCCCGCGAGGAGGGCATCCGGCTCTTTGCCGTGGCCCCCAACAGGAACCTGAATGAGCAGGGCCTCCGGGATATCGCCAGCGCCCCCCACGAGCTCTACCGCAACAACTATGCCACCATGCGGCCCGCGTCCACCGAGATCGACCAGGACACCATCAACCGCATTATCAAGGTCATGGTAAGCAGCGCCAGGCCGGGGCTGCCCAGAGGCCTCAGACCTGGGCGGGCAGGCCTCAGTACACCCCGATGTGTGTGGGGACCTGAGGGAGGTGCGGCCCCGGCAGGCCGAGTCCTGGGTCTGCAGTCTAGACTCGGGTACCACGTGTACCCCAGACTGCGGCCGACCAGGTCTCTCTCTCTCTCCCACAGAAACACGAAGCCTATGGAGAGGTGAGTGACACTTCCCAGCCCCCAGCCCTGGCCACCTCATGCTCTGGGTCAGCAGGGAGGACCACACCTGCACTCCAGCCCTTGGGGACTGGAGCAGAGGAAGAAGGGGGCATCGTGCACCTCTTCTCCATGGGCCACAGACACCTGAGTCTGGAGGGAGGACTCTGGGCCCAGCCAGGCCACGTCAGCCCCGGGGGTCTGCAATAGGCATCGACTCAGCGCAGTCAGCATGGGCGCCGAGAGTCCTGCCCGCAGCTGGCAGGCTGTGTGCAGCCCAGACTGGGAGCCCCAGCCACCTGCCAGGTCAGGAGGAGGCAGGCAGCCATGTGCCAGCTGGGGCCTGCAGCTGCAAGCGGTCTGTACTCCCCCCAGGTCTGTGTGGACTCAGCTCCTGCTCCCAGGAAAGGGAGCAGGCCTCTGAGGTCACCACCTGTCCCCAGAACAGCTGCCAGCACAGTGGGTGTGGTCCCTGTATACAGATGGTGCTTAGCCCATGCCCACTGCTCTTTAATACTTGTGACTACCCATCATGGCCGAACTCAGCCTCGCTTTTCCAACCCTTGCCTGGAAGTCTCTCTAGAAGCCCGCCGTCTGCCCCTGGGATCGGGTGTCTGCCCCTTCATCCTGGCCCAGGGTCCCAGGCGGCTTGTCCCACCTGCTGGACCCACTGTCCCCCACCTTCTCATTCCAGTGCTACAAGGTGAGCTGTCTGGAGATCCCTGGACCACCAGGCCCCAAGGGCTACCGTGGACAGAAGGTGAGCTGCCCGAATGGCTCAGGGGGACACACCTCCGAACCTGTCTCAACTCCACCTTGGAGGCCAGCCATGCTGTGGATGGTCTCAAGCCTTCCCACCTGGAAAAAATGGGATTTTGAGAAAAGTAGGAACTTCTTAAAAGTCATTAAGATACGCTGTTGAGGGCTGGGGTGGTGACTCAGCAGCAGAGCGTTTGCCTAGCACTTGCGAGGCCCTGGGTTCGATCCTCAGCACCACATAAAAACAAATTAAAAAATAAAGATATTGTGTCCATCTACAACTAAAAAAAGTAATTTTTTTTTAAAGATGTGCTGTTGAAATACTTCTGCAAATAAGCAAGCTCACTCAGATCAGGCCCCAGTAACCACATACCGACCTTTATACAGAACAGGACGCACGTGCCTGCTGGCAGGGCTGCTGACTGGCGGAGAGGACCCCGGGGYGCGTTAGCCAGCAGCTGGGGACGGCCCCACCCCTGCCCTGCTTCCTGGTGGCAGAGGCGTGTGGGATGAAATCTCAAGCCCACTCCTAGGGTCTGTGAGAGCCACCGAAAGCTTGAGGGAACTGCCACAGGAGGAGGATGGGCATCTAAGGAGACTCACAGGGACACTGTCACACAGCAAGGTGACAAGTGGTGTCCAGTAACCCACGTCCAGGGTTGCCTTCTCCAGGCCACAGGCCACACCCTGTCCCAGTCCTGGCAGCAATGCCCACCTGCCCCAGCCAGGAAGGAATCTGCCACTTGGGCAGCCTTGAGCACCCAGGGGCAGTGGCCACGTCCTGAGGGGTGGGAGCCAGAGCGAGCCGCTGCCCCCCCCGCTCTGCCGCCTTCCCTCCCACCTGTCCTGTGGCCCCCGCTTCTCCCTCCCCTCCCTTCTTTGCCCTGATGTCAGAAGCACCTTGATAACTGGGTGCCTTAAGTTCTGAGTTATGTGATCAAGTCCTGATTCCAAGGGAACGTCGCCTCTGTGTGGTCTTGTGACGCTCTGAGGTGTCTGAAGTCACTTAGGGTCCTGCTCCGTCACGCCTTGTGAATTATTTAAGAGGAATTGATTTGCTGTGACTGTCCACAGGCTAGGTCGGAGCCCAGGGCAGGAGGGCTGCACACCAGGTTACTTGTCTGGTTGGCATCTCGGAACGCTGTCCGTCAGGGCTCAGAAGAGAAGTCCAAACAAACCCTGGTCTGATGCTGTCAGGACCCCTGGGGCAGCTGACCTGACTGGTGTCTCTACTCACGGAGGGACCAGTGGCTTTCGCGTGCCAACTTGCTGATGAACTGGCTGTCCTTGACCCTGCCTCAGCTCACTCTCCCTGTTGTCTGTCTCTAGGGTGCCAAGGGCAACATGGGTGAGCCAGGAGAGCCCGGACAGAAGGGGCGACAGGTGAGTGACCCCAGCCCCGTGCCCCTGGCCGTCCCCACCCCCACCCAGGACTGGTTGCATCTAATGCTGACTGTTCCTTTTCTGCAGGGAGATCCAGGCATCGAGGGCCCCATTGGATTCCCAGGACCCAAGGCAAGTTCCCAGGGCTGGGGCTGGCAGGGGCAGGGATGGCAAGGGGACCGGGTGGTGTCTCGGGAAAGCTGCCCCGTATCCTCTCCCAGGTCTCTAGCCCAGCACCCCATGCCCCTGTTACCAAGAAGTAGAAGCACCTCTGTAGTGGAGGTCACCCCAGAACCAAGCTCTGGCCTGGCCCCGCCTCCAGCCTCCTCTGCTGAGTGTGGGTTCAGAGTCCACCAGGTTTCCAGGTGCTGGACGCAGCCTACCCCTACCGGCCCTTGAGTCTCCCCACCCTGCCCCCGCTAACGAGGCACCCTCTCCTTCTGCCCTCAGGGTGTTCCAGGCTTCAAAGGAGAGAAGGTAAGAGCTGATGCTGAGCAGCCCAGGCAGACCCCAGACCCACCTCTGTCTGCAGCCTGTGGGTCCCCCTGGGGCAGAAGGGCTCCAGAGGAGGGGCTCTTCTGGCCTCACGGAGCCCCAGGGCTCTGACCCCCACCTAGAGACAATGGTTCTGTGAAGCTGGAGACTCACCCCTCACTTCCTCCTGCACAGGGTGAATTTGGAGCTGACGGTCGAAAGGTGAGCTGGGCAGGGCGGGCAGGTGCCCACCTCCAGGTGGCTCAGGTGGACAAGGACAGAGCTAACGGGTCTCCTTTCCCTCCCTTTCCAGGGGGCTCCAGGCTTGGCCGGCAAGAATGGGACTGATGGCCAGAAGGTAAAGTGAGGGCCAGCTCACGGCTGCACTGGTGATCACACGCACACATGGGCACACGGGCACGGTGGGGGTCACCTCACAGCTGTGCACCCCGAGAGAGCTGTGGAGGGGCCTGGCAGCGTGGTCACTGCACCTCCACCTGGACCCCAGTCCCCTGACACTTGTGCTCCCCCTCCTGCAGGGCAAGCTGGGCCGCATCGGGCCTCCTGGCTGCAAGGGAGACCCTGGAACCCGGGTAGGTTGCTCCTCGGGGCCTCGTCTGCCTGCCCCAGGGACCTCAGCTCTGGGGAGCCGGGTGCCAGGCGCAGTCCTGCTTCTCCCTCCTACCCTCTCGCCCTGTCTGTCCCTGCCACAGCCCAGGGTTCAGCCAGGGTCGGGGTCACAATGTGGCAACACCCTGAGCATCTGGGCCAGCTCCGGGAAGGCTGGTGGGGTCCTGGGCCAGGCCAAGCGGTTCCACTGCTCCGAGGTCCTGCATCGTGGATCTTGGTCCTGTCAGCCTGTCCCTTGCTGACTGACCCGTCAGGGCCTGGCCTCCTGGGCAGGGGTCTTACTCACCCAGAAGCCTCACAGCAGGCTCTGAGGATGGGACTTTGCTGCCCAGTTTGTGGGCCGAACCAAACCTCCTCTGGGCAGCAGCCAGCAGGAGCCCCAGGACGCACCCTGCCCTTCTCTTTCAGGGCCCTGACGGGTACCCAGGGGAGGCTGGAAGCCCAGGCGAGCGGGGAGACCAAGGCGCCAAGGTAGGCTGCCCAGCCGTCTGTGGCCATGCAGCAGAGGGGCCACCCCGGGCCTCCCTGCCCCAGCCCAGGGTCCCTGGAGGATGGAGCTGTCTGGGGAAGACCCAGCAGAGGGAGCCTGTCCCTCAACGGGTCCTTCAGGAGTGAGGGCCACAGCACTGCCCACCCTCCTACCCTGAGCACATTCCCCTGTCCCCCAGAAGGAGCCGCCTCCGGCCAGGGTCACAGCCTGGCATTCAGGTTCCCTAGCAGCCCACCCCGTGCCAGGCATCCGGGGTGCTCAGGGACATGGGGGAGCTGCCTGCCCTGTGCCCGGAGCCTGGCCCCGGAGGCAGTGGCTGATCTCTCCAAACCCTTCCAGGGGGACTCTGGCCGCCCGGGACGCAGAGGGCCTCCAGGAGACCCAGGAGACAAAGGAAGCAAGGTGAGCCGTGACCATGCTCTCCAACCCTGGCCAGGGCAGCCGGCCACACTRCCTGTGTCCTCACACATGTGAGGAGGGGCCGGAAGGACAAGTGTGCCCTGAGCACGCGCCAACCTCCTGTCCTGCACCGCCGGGCACCAGGGGGGGCTGGGGGGCTCCCTGAGTGCAGAGGGAAGCCGGGCAGTGCAGCACACACCTGCTGGGCAGGCGCTTCCCAACACTCCTCCTCTCTGCAGGGTTACCAAGGCAACAACGGAGCCCCGGGCAGTCCTGGCGTGAAAGGAGCCAAGGGGGGGCCTGGGCCCCGCGGACCCAAAGGCGAGCCTGTGAGTCCCCAGCCTGCTGGCAGCCCTCCAGCCTGGGCACTCCTCGGGCTCAGGAGGGGCCCTTGGAGATGGCCTGTGCCGCAGCCGCCCCCTACTCACTGGCTCCACACACCTGCCCTCCCTGCAGCCTCCCGCAGGGCCGCACAGGGTGGACCCACCAGTCAGAGCAGCTGGAGACCCAGCGCCTGGACTTACAGCCTGGCCAGGAGCCCYCACCCGCCCTCCTCCCTAAATCCTCTGCTGGGACAGGTTGACCCGCAACAGGACAGGGGGTGGCACCTGTGGGTCTCCACTGTGCCCTCTGAAAGAAACCCCAGGCTCGGGGTCCCCAGACCTCCAAGCCAGAGTCCTCCTGGGAGAGCGGAGCTCAGGCCCAGTGGTTGGCAAATGTCCACCCCTCCCCACCAACACACGTGTTCTTTCAGGGGCGCAGGGGAGACCCCGGAACCAAGGGCGGCCCCGGCAGTGACGGTCCCAAGGGAGAGAAGGTGAGTCGGCCATGTGCCAGAGCCAGAGAGCACTGGCCCTGTCTGTCTGCATGTGGGACCTACGCCCTGGGGGGCAGGACTGACCCATCCTYGCCCGACAAACAGAGCTGTTGAGGCCCCACATCCAGGGCTAACCCCTGCCGGGCCTGGAAAAGCAGGAATGAGGCAGGTGGGCTCACACTCTGCCCCTCGGAGACTCAGCAGGGGCCCAGCAGGCACCACCCATCCCCTGCTGCCATGCCTAGCGGCTCAGGCTGTGCACTGCTCAGTCCACAGTGTCCCTACATGGACACACCTGCCCCAGCAGCTGTCACAGCTCTCGAGGGCAGCACTGAAGTAGCTGGTGGCAAAATCCACAACCACCTGTCCCCTCTGAGAGGTGGGTAGAGGGGCTTCCTCCCCGGCCAGGTGGGTGACTCACATTACCTGTGGCTTCAGTACAACTGTGAGGCTGGTGGTTGGTGGGCTGCAGGATAAAGGATGCCCCTGTTCCAGCATCACCCTGGACATTACTGGACACCTTCCTCCCAGGGGAATAAGTGACCCCTCCTCTGACTYCACCACACAGCCTCTCGGGGGGACCCAAACCTGAGTCCCCCACCAAGACCTGACTGGCCCCTGTTCCCACAGGGGGACCCTGGCCCAGAAGGGCCACGGGGCCTGGCCGGAGAGGTCGGCAACAAAGGAGCCCAGGTATGTGGGGTCCTGGGGCTGGGGGACCAAGTGCCTGGTCCCAACTGCCACCAAGACCTGCCTGTGGAGGGACTGCGTGTGGACCCAGCCTGCTGCCCCCACCTGCCTGGGGTCCAGCCTGCCCTGCAGGCCAAGCCAGGCCTCTGCAGGTCAGCAGACCCCACCTCTGCAGCAGGACATCAGGGTCTCGAGCTCATCCTCTTGCTTTGCAGGGAGACCGAGGATTGCCTGGACCCAGAGGTCCCCAGGGGGCCCTTGGGGAGCCCGGAAAGCAGGTCAGTGGCAGGACCCCTGCACCCCGAGGCTCCAGTGGCCAGCTCTGTCTCCAACCTCCTGTCCACTCTCCCTGTTGTAAAATGCTCGGGTCCCCCTGTGGGTGGCACAGGCTGCCTGCCAGTCACTGTCCCGTGGCAGCCTTGGACAGTGGGACTAGGAGCTGTCCCCTAGGGCACCTCTCACCACCCTAGGGCACCCTAGGGCACCTCTCACCACCCCAGCTCGGTGTCCTCCTGTCCAGAAGGGACTGTCCCAACCCTCGCCTCAGGCAGGATGGTGAGCCTGGGGCCTGGACCACACGTGAAGAGGAGGAGCCAGCACCCCCAGACCTCCGGATGCTGGAGGGCAGCACAGGAAGCTGGGGACAGTGTGGTCTGTGGCCACAGATGGACTGTAGGGTCAGATGACCCCGGGTACAGGTCAGTGTCAGTCACAGAGGACTGTGCCAACCCTCGATTTTTTTCCCTCCCTTAGGGATCTCGGGGAGACCCTGGTGATGCTGGACCCCGCGGAGACTCGGGACAGCCAGGCCCCAAGGTGCGGCCCCCGCCAGCAGGGTAGACGGGGCTTGGAGTGGGTGCCCAACTGGAGAGGCTGGAGAGTGAGGCTGACCAGGGTGGGCTGAGGCTGACACCGTGGCATCAGCCTTGACCCCTGAGGGGTCAAGGAAAGGGGAAAGGGCTCGTCTTCCCAAGCCAAGGCCCTGGGGGTGGCCAGCCACTGGCTCCGCCTGGTCCAAGGGCCAGCACCACGGGCGTGTGCTTGGCAGGGGTTGGGCGAGTGTAGCCCAGCAGTGCCCCTCATCCACATCCCACGCCCCTGGGCCTGGCCCCGGGGTCCCTCCTCTGTTCCTTCCAACTGACCCAGCCTCTTCCTGCAGGGAGACCCTGGCAGGCCTGGATTCAGCTACCCGGGACCCCGGGGAACCCCCGTGAGTGCTGGTGTGGGGCAGGGGCTGCAGGGGGGGCCGGGCTAGTGGAGAGGGCCCTGCAGGCTCCCAGTGTCCCCTAGAGGTGGCCTGTCTGGAGGAGCAGGGCAGGGGAGGTGGCGCGGGTCAGAGGACGGGGTCAGCATCACAGGCTGGCCCTGCACTGGGAGCCAAGTGCTCAGCAGAGTGGGAGAGCCCCGCCTGGGGGGAGCATCCTGGGCCGGGCCTTGGGTTCCAGCCGGGTGACCCTCTGACCTTGGTTTGCCTCACAGGGAGAAAAAGGCGAGCCCGGCCCCCGTGGCCCAGAGGTACGTGGCATCCCCGCCATCTGGGCCTCTCTCCATTCCCTGGGTGGAACACAGTGGTCGGCGTCCACCACAGCTGGGAGACTGCACAGGCCTTCAGGCCTCGGTGGCCATGCCCCTGCCCGAGGCCAGGCCATGCAGCGCCCGCTTAGCTTTGAGTGGTGGTAGCTGCCACGTCTGTCCCTTCCCAACCGAAAGTCAGGGCTTGCCTGAAAACCCAGAGCTGCCATCCAGCGGGCCTGAGCCGTGAACATGCTTTCCCCGGGAGGAGCACGTCCGAGGTCCGGGGCCCCATTGCTCCTGAAGATCTGGGTCAGGGAGCAGGGAGACTGACCTCTCTGGGCATGTGTCCCTGTCACAGGGAGGCCGAGGGGACTTCGGCATGAAAGGAGGACCTGGGAGGAAAGGAGAGAAGGGGGAGCCCGTGAGTACCTCGTCCTGCACCCCAGCTGCCGGCCAGAGTGGGCAGAGCACTGAGGCTGACTGTGTCCCCTGAGGGCCCTCAGGAGGACCCCAGCTCACCCGGCACCAGAGCCCCGTCACCCCACCCTTGAAGAGCACCACCTGGCTCAGAGGCCTCTCCTCTCCTCCCCCTTGCCCCCAGCCTTGCACCCACGGTTACCCGAGCCTCTTCCTTAGCAGAGGCCAGGCCTATGTCCTAGTGTCCTGTGTTCTTAGTGCTGGCCGGCCCCCCAGCAGGGAATGTGATGGGCAGAGAGGGATTGAACACAAGTCCTAGCACAGAAGATGGCGGACAGCAAACAGCCAGTGAGGGGGTGGGTGGGTGGGTGGGAAGGTAGACAGGTGAGCAGGTATGTGGGTGGGTAGGTAGACAGGTGAGCACGTGGGTGGGTGGGTGGGAAGACAGGTGAGCAGGTATGTGGGGGGTAGGTAGACAGGTGAGCACGTGGGTGGGTGGGTGGGAAGACAGGTGAGCAGCTATGTGGGTGGGAAGACAGGTGAGCAGGTGGGTGGGTGGGTGGGAAGACAGGTGAGCAGGTATGTGGGTAGGTGGAAGGACAGGTGAGCAGGTATGTGGGTAGGTGGAAGGACAGGTGAGCAGGTATGTGGGTAGGAAGACAGGTGAGCAGGTGGGTGGGTGGACAGGTGGGTGAGTAGACAGATGGTGGGTGGAAAGGTGAGCAGGAGGATGATGGGTGGTGGATGGTGGATGAGTGGATGCGTGGAAGCGTTGGGTTTGAGGATGAGGGTGAGTCAAAGGTCTTGCGTGGGTAGCCTGAGCTGTTTCGGCTGCTGTCTTTGAGCTCCTCTGTGGCCTGTGGGCCCCCTGCCCCTCTGGCAGACCAGGCTCTGAGGCATTCCTAGGGTGTGGCACAGCCCCCCATTCCTGATGCCCACCCTACCCCAGGCGGGGACTTGGGGTGGGGGCAAGACTCCTTTGGGGTGTTGGCTGAGCCTGCCTGCCCTGTTCCTTCTCAGGCAGATCCTGGTCCCCCTGGTGAGCCAGGCCCCCGGGGGCCGAGAGGAGTCCCAGGACCTGAGGTAGGCCATCTCTGTCCCTTTACCCCTCGGTCCCCAGCCCCTGCACAAGCCAGGTCAGTGCATGCCTGGCTGGTGGCTCTGTCTGCCCCTGGTGTGTGCCGCCCTGTCTGCAAGGGGCAGTGGCATCAGGAGTTAGCACCCTGCCCAGCCCCGGGCCTCAGGTCTCACCTCACACCACTGTCCCTCCTCCAGGGTGAGCCCGGCCCCCCCGGAGACCCCGGCCTCACGGTAGGTATCACCAGGGGTGGTGGGATCCACATCCTCCCTCCCCAAAATGAGAGGGGCAGTGAGTGCAGGGGGTGGGCTGGGTGCTGTGGGGACAGGTGGATGCAGGCTCTGCCCCTGGGGGCTCCTGGGGCTGGAGGGCCCGCCTGCCCTGGAGACACAGCCGTGCTCTGCTGCAGGAGTGTGACGTCATGACCTACGTGAGGGAGACCTGTGGCTGCTGTGGTGAGTCGGCACGGCCAAGGGGAGCCGGCGGGGCCCTGGGGTTTCTCATGGCACCCACTGCTGACCCTGCCATCCCCCAGACTGCGAGAAGCGCTGTGGGCCCCTGGACGTGGTCTTCGTCATCGACAGCTCAGAGAGCATCGGCTACACCAACTTCACCCTGGAGAAGAACTTTGTCATTAATGTGGTCAACAGGCTGGGGGCCATGGCCAAGGACCCCAAGTCAGAGACCGGTCAGTGAGGGCAGGGCAGAGGCCGGGCAGGACAGCTGGAAGTGGCGGGAGGCTCTCTTCCCAGGCTGGCTGGCCACAGAGGGKCCTGGGCAGGTCACCGGCCACACTGACCCTTGCCCCCACAGGGACCCGCGTGGGCGTGGTGCAGTACAGCCACGAGGGCACTTTCGAGGCCATCCAGCTGGACGACGAGCGCATCAACTCCCTGTCCAGCTTCAAGGAGGCCGTCAAGAACCTGGAGTGGATTGCGGGCGGCACCTGGACGCCGTCAGCCCTCAAGTTCGCCTACAACAAGCTCATCAAGGACAGCCGCCGCCACAAGACCCGCGTGTTCGCTGTGGTCATCACGGATGGGCGCCATGACCCACGGGACGACGACCTGAACCTGCGGGCGCTGTGCACGGGTGACGTCACCGTGACAGCCATCGGCATCGGTGACATGTTCCACGAGCGCCACGAGAGCGAGAACCTGTACTCCATTGCCTGTGACAAGCCGCAGCAGGTGCGCAACATGACCCTCTTCTCCGACCTGGTGGCCGAGCGCTTCATCGACGACATGGCGGACGTCCTCTGCCCTGGTGAGCTGCTGCCCAGCCCCTTCCAGCAGGTCCAGAGCAGCCTGGCCCTGGCTGACCCACACCTGCCTCTCCCTCTCTTGCAGACCCCCAGATCGTGTGCCCGGAGCTTCCCTGCCAAACAGGTGACGCAGGCGCCCCCCAACCCAGAGTAGCAGAGTGGTGCCTCCTCTCCCGCAGCAGGGTGGGCAGAGGGCGGAACGGCCTGGGCAGGCTGCTGCGGAGGCACCGCCTGGGACCCCAGGTCCCGCACAGCGAGGAGGCAGTGTGTGGGGGTGGCTCCAGGATGCAGGATGGCCTGGTGACACCCCAGGCACTGCTGGCGTGGGTGCTGTTGGCCTGGCTCTGCAGCGGGTCAGCCTCTGGAGGGTCCCTGGCACCACCAGAGCACAGGCAGGCACAGCTCCTAGGGGCTGGCTGGCTCAGCGAGTCACATTTGCGGCCACCTCTATGGCCACTGCTGCAGGGTGACTGGGAGAGGGAGGAAGAGGACAGATGGGATGGGGAAGCCAGAGAGACCAATAAAGAGGGAGGAAGCGAGAGAGGACAGGGTTGAGGGAGAAGGCTGGTCTCCTTGGGGGTCGGGAGTTGCCCAGGGCCAGGGGGCACCGAGAGGTGCTTCAGGGCCCTCGGGAGCCAAGGTCCCTTCTGGTGAGCCCTATCCCCTCCTGGAGGGGGACCCCAGGCTACACTGGGATCTGGGGCCACCATGGAGCTGGAGGGTCACCCGCAGCCATCTCTGTGGCCTCTGCCTCTGGAACTCAGTGCTCCCCAGCTGGCTGAGCTGAGGTGCCTACCCACCCAGGAAGGACAGGGAAATGGGTCGGCCTCACACTTGCTGGGACAGAGGGCATTGCCAAGGACACACTGCCCAGGCCTTGCCCTTGGTGTGACTGTGGGGCTCCGCGCTACCCACAGGCCCCAGGGCTGGCAGGAGAGCATCAGTCCTGGTCTCTGCTGGGCGAGACCCCCAGCTAGACCCCCGCTCCAGCCTTGTCAGGTATGTAGGGAGTAGTGCCCTCAGTGGGCAGCTGGCGCCCAGATGGCCTGGGTGAGGTCCAGACCAGCGGGGTCTGCACAGGGGAGGCTGATGCCACAGCCCAGCCCGTGGGCAGCTGGACCCCTGGGGCACAGGAGCCAAGCCTGGGCCTGGGCCGGGGCCCAGCGTTCTCACCTGGCCCCTGGTGAGTCTGGGAGCTCTGGGTTCCGGCAGAGCGTGCTGGCCGTAGGTGTCCGCAGGTCTTCCTGAAGCTCATGGCCCCCTGGGGTTCAGGGAGGAGATGCTGGACCTGCCGCCGGCTTGTCCTGCATCTGTCGAGTGGCTGTGGGCTTCCTCTGACCCTCAGCTCAGCCGGCCTGCTGCAGTCCGCTTGCTGCTGTGGTAGACGCAGCTGTGCACGGCCTGCTGGTGTCGCATCCAGGGCCTGGCTGTGCCCAGGAGTGGCATGGCCTCAGGGTACAGGACATGGCTCTGGGAAGGTGACAGAGGACCTGGGGGAAATGAGGACCTCTGACACTCTTGCCCCCACTCCCCTGAAGCCTCGGGACCCCACGTGAATGGAGTGGCCCCTAGGAGACCCTCCCTCCTTCCGGGCCTCCTGATCCCTCTGCAGAGTTTACAAAGCTCCCCCACCCCTTTGGCCTTTTGAAACTCAAGGAAGTGAGTGTGGTGACCACGAGGAGCTCACCTGCCCTCAGATGTCCTGTGGGTCCTTGTGGGCACCTCCTATAGGAACACCGTGCCAGTGGACACCACCAGCTCAGGCCCAGCCCTGACCTTACCCTGGGCTGACACTAGGCAGGGGCTGGTGGTGACTGTCAGCAGGACAAGCCAGGCACAGGCTTAAGCCTCTGAGAACGAGGTGGCCTGGTAATGACCACAGTGGTGGAGACCGGCATAGTGACTGCTAGAGCTGGAGGGTGCAGGGCCAAGGACTGAGGGGGCTGTAACTGGCCGCCTGCATTTGCCCACGACTACAGTCTGACCCAAGGTCAGGAGCCAGTTAGACCGAGATGCCCACCAGAGTCAGGCCTCCCCTCACACAGGCATGGGGAGCCAGAGCAGGGGGGCAGAGAGACAGACAGGCAGGGTAGGATGGAGGGGAGAGAGACAGAGACAGAGACAGGGATCCAGAGAGACAGGGACAGAGGGGAGATCCAGAGAGAGAGAGACTGGGGTTAGGCGAGCTAGAGGTGATAGTGGAGGAAGGAGGAGACAGAGACAGGGACAGAGGGGGGATCCAGAGAGAGAGACAGAGATCGAGAGAGACAGGGACAGAGGGGAGATCCAGAGAGAGAGAGAGACGGGGATCCAGAGAGACAGGGACAGA